GAGTAAGGAAACTGACAATCCCCACAAACGTTACAAACCGGATTCCAAAAAGTTGGGACGCTAAACAAATTGTGAATAAAAACTGAACGCAAAGATGTGGAGGTCCCAACATCTAATATTTTATTCAGAATAGAACACAAATCACAGATCAAAAGAGTAAATTGAGAGAATATATAATTTTAAGGGAAAATATGTTGTTTCAAAATTTCATGGCATCAACAAATCCCAAAATTTGGGACAAGGCCATTTTTTCCACTGTGTGGCATCCCCCCTTCTTCTTACAACACTCAGACGTCTGGGGACAGAGGAGAACAAATTCTCAAGTTCAGAAATAGGAATGCTCTCCCATTCATGTCTAATTCAGGCCTCTAACTGTTCAATCGCCTTCGGCCTTCTTTGTCYCACCTTCCTCTTTATGATGAGCCAAATGTTCTCTATAGGTGAAAGWTCTGGACTGCAGCCTGGCCATTTCAGTAGCCAGACCCTTCTCCTGCGTAGCCATGATGTTGTGATTGCTGCAGAATGTGGTCTGGCATTATCTTGTTGAAAAACCTAGGGACAATTTAGAATTATCAATTTTGTTTTTGATTTGTCAGAGGAAGCCAGAGTACCTGGAGAAAACCCACACATGCAAGGAGAGAACATGCAAACTCTACACAGAAAGGTTCCTGTGCCGGGATTCAATCCGGTGACCTTCTTACTGAGAGGCATCTGCTCTACCAACTGAGCCACTATGCTGTTGTGTTGTTTCACTTTGTATTTCATATCCAAACAAGCATAGTATTGGTATGCACAAATGAGCTCAACCATTCTGATTTTCACCCCACATGCGGCAGTGGTTAGAAAAGTTGTATTGACAAAATTTGGTACAAAAGATTTTCTTTGCAAAATGAAACATTTTGTGAAAAACCACCTTAAAAAGTCACATTTTTATTTTTGGGATACTGTAGAGGACCACCCTAATTAGCATTGTGAGTAAACATTAGTATCATGCAATGATAGCTTAATCAGAGCAGAAAAGACCGACACCCGCTGCCTTCTAAGCTGAGGTAAGGTTACCAACAGTCCCTTTTTAGTCAGAATGTCTGTATTTTAAGCCAAATTGAAGTGTCCCATTCAGGGCGCTCTTTTTCAGACTGTAGTCAGCCGTCATGTTACGCCAGGCAGGCAGGCAGGCAGGCATGCGTCTAGCACCTCGAGCTTAGGGGGTCCAAGAGGGACACTACTGATGTGGCCAAATGTAATGACCATATGAAACACAGTGCATTCAAATGATTAGCGTTCTTGCGCTCCCTCCTTAAGATGCCCCATGACAGAAACACTATTGTCTGTTGCTCTCAGTGTCCGGCTGATCGCGTCCAAGTCCTGATACTTTAAGTTTATCCTGCTGTGTTCGCTTCTAAAAAGGTTTTGTTTTAAGACTTAGCTGTGTTGTTTAGCTCCTCCAGTTCTTTACTGGTTTGGGGACCTGTCCTGCTGTYCTGTATTTGACTTCGACCCACTACCAGTATGCAAATCACGTTCTGGATGCAGGTCACACCACTAAGGGCATGTCCTCCATTTTGGAAACATACTGTATGGGTTAACATATCATATGATGATTTTATGGAAAAGTCATAAAAATGGTTAGGTAAAGAAAATAAAACACTGCCAAAGTACTTGTGAGTGCTGTTTAGGAACATATTCAAGCAGATTTAGGTTATTTTATACAGCCAGCAAATGAAACTTTTACAGTTTTTAACATCACATTCTCTGACCTTTGAGAGGAAAGAAAAAAGTGCCCGYCACAAGTCTTGTGCTCACATCCCCCACTTTGTGCCCAACTCGTAAGCTACACCAGCATTGATGATTTGATCTACTGCATTGCWTTTTTTTGTTGCTGTTTTTTGTAAATAGGTAGATTTGAACCAGTTTATTTTATTTTATTATTTTATTCTGAGGTACTGACTAGAAKAAGGATGAGCAACTCTGGTCCTTGAAGGCAGCTATCCTGCATGTTTTACTTGTTTCTCTGCACCACCACATCTGGTTTGAATGAATGGATGATTAGCAGACTTCTGTAGAAGTAATGCTGATGTGGGCCTACATATAGTCCCTGGCTTGGCACCTATATTTTGCAGTTTTCCCTGGTAGATGAGGGTAGCCACCATGCACCTTCTGAATAGGGTACAGTTTCTAACAGTTGTAGTTGCCTCTGTACCAAATGACACTAAGYACTCCTGAAGAGTGTAACCTGAAGAGGACAGACTGGGAGCAACTGTCCCTCTGATTTAAACATAAGCAATGTTCTGTTATTGGACATTTGTGCTATTGGTCTGTTTATAACAAGCACATTATTCAAACATAAAGGTGCCTACGTGCACATTGCACAAGGACACTCTAGGTTGCAGATCAATGATAATATTCTGTAGTTGCAATACACACTGTATTGATTGCCTGGTGGGGAAATTAAGTCTCTGCATTTTACCCATCCCACATGTGAGCACACATGTGGAGCAGTGAACTGCCAATTACAGCGCCCGGGGAGCAGCTGGGGGGTTAAGGGCATTGCTCAAGGGCCCAAAGTGGGCTGGTTGGTCCGCGGGGAGTCAAACCGGTGACCTTCCGATCACAGACTCTGCTTCTCTACCCTCTGCGCCACCATCCCAGCAGTGTTATCTGATCTGAAGCTATATGTTTTGGACGCCTGTGTGAAGAGGGTTGCAAAGCTTTCAATTGATCACCAACTGATGGTAAATTYGATCAAATAGTGATAGAAGATTCAAGACAGGCATGGTAGTTCTAAACCTGTGGTGAGGGGTTTCTGGTAACACCTGGTAGAGGAACCCATCAAAAAKAGATTCAACTCCCACCTTTAACAGAGCCTTAATAAATTACAACAGAGGCAGGTTTGTAATGTTCTATGCTGCCATTGGTGAGGTGGTTAAACTGTGGCTACAGGGTTGTTAGTGTCTCTCATAATGGCCATTCTCAAACTCAGTGGTAGACAACRTGGGCATTAAGGCCATTAAGTTGAAGAACAAGTCCAATCAGACCTTGTTAACTGGTAGRACAGAGGTAGATGAAGGGCAAGTGAGCTGCAGCCCTAGCTGTTGCTGAGACAAAGGCTTTGGGTGTGGGAGGAGTTTGGGTAGGCCTTGGATAAACACTCTCAATTGGCTACAAAAACATTTTGGCAAACAATTAGGGGGCTAAGGTGGGTTAAGTAATGTTTTACCTACACTGTGTGCAGTAATCTTGGGTTGACCTCAACCAGTAAAGTTGTCTGGCAGTGGAATGAAAACTCACAGGAACATAGTCCCACCAGCATGTCTTCCATGAAGGAAACTGAGTCAAGGGACTTTCTGATGGGTAGACTCAACAGGCAAAGTATCTAAAAAAATTACTGAGTAAAAGTAAAAACACCTCAACAGAAACTGACTTTGGTAAGAATATATTTTTACTSTCTTGTGAATGAGAATTATCTCTCAGTTGGGCAGGGTATGCCTTAGAACCCTTCTGGATAAGTTGGAAKTGGGGGCTATGAAAAAATATATCTGCTCCTCCCTGCTCAAGCTGCTGCCCCTGAGACCCAACTAAGGAACAAGTGGCAGATAACGGATGCATGGATGAATAGATTATTGGTAATGACTTGGTAAAGCCTGGACTTACAGGGCTGAAGCCACAGATATTTTTTACAATAACACCCAAGCATGAAAACACCAACATTTTTAACAATRGTTCATTATAAATAACTATTACAAAGATAAACTCATTAAGGGTGTGGTGTAAAGAATTGRTGACTAAAATAAAATACAACTTAGGCACAGGGAATGGGTGCAATATAAATGTTGTTTTTGGTGTTTATTGTTCAAAAAGGGGGTACAATTTTGCAGAAGTACAAACTATTCAGCACCCAACAAGAACTTTCTTGGGAGAGAATATTCTGAAAATGGTTCAGAYTAATCATTGAAAGTGAAAAAAATTACAAACAGCTGATCTATCATGTGCATGCAGAGAGCCTTTAGTATGGAGGAGGGTTGGGGGAGTGGTGGGGGTGGGGGGGTTGTAGTAGGCACATTACACTTAAATAATCACGTACCTCATTTCCCTGTACAAAAAATTGCCCGCAGTGATGAAAAACAACAACAACAAATTTTAAATAATAGCACAGAGGAAGTATATTTGTTTTTCAGTTAAATAAAAAACTAAATACAATTTAAGAATRAATGCCTGAAATGTGTTCTGAATGTAGCTTTAGTTTACATTCACATAAAATATAATGTGGCATTTTAGAAAAGTAAAAAAATAAATAAATAGAGCATTATGATCTACGGAAGCAACTACTACTGAGTAGAACATCTGACAGGCTGAATATAATTTTTTAAGCCTTATTCACACTACTGACCCCGGTCCCATGCTCTCCACAACTTCCATGTCATATTAGAACTTGGTTGGATTGCAGCCAATTTTGTAAACTTTCTTTTGAGTGAAGTAATTATGATTGCGCTACATTCTTGGTACTTGCAAGATTTTTTTCCCCGTATTTTTCTCCATCTTCAGGGTATTCTGGAACATCTTGACTCTAAAAACCCAGCCTGGCATGATTCTGAGTAACTTTTTTACATCAAGATGCAATGTTATGCATGCTCAAAGTCATTGTGGACCTATCACCCTCTATCACATTTAGTGGGGATCCCTCTGTGTTCTTAATCAATTTTAGTCATCACCAAAACCTTGGAAAGACCATTCACATTCTGGCTGATTTCTACAACACAGTGCGGTCATCATCCTGTGTGAAGGATGTCTTTTACTGGTTTCAGGTGCGCAACAACTGATGCATGACTGATTTAGACTAAAATACTTTCAAATTAATTTTTACAAAACATTTTAATGGTTATTTATGATTTGCTTGTATTTGATGCTAGTTATATTTTTCAATGTAATAATTCAACTTATTCTAGTTAATTCATGTATCATTACYTCACAAGAAAGTAATCTCTCAGTACTGTAAAAAACATACACAAACATTGTAACAGTGGTGGGCATAGTTTCGCTCATCTGCTAACCTGTTAATAGTAGAACTAATTTTTGTTGAGTGGTTTACCATTTGCATTAATTAAATTATTAATGGACTTCACTCCCATTAAAATATTATCTTTTACTTTCAATACTGCTAATAATATTAGAATACATGTTGCCCCATTCAAAATAAATTTAAAGATATTGTATTTTATATGAGCAGTGACATGCTTAACATCACTGTGCTATGAGCAGAAGACACTGCAAAACATTTACTGCTAAAGGCCCTGTAACAGTATAATGTTTTAGACAACTTATGCCAATTTATAAAAAGTCTGTCCAACACTAAAGCAGCAAGCCTCTTTTGGACCTACAGTATGCATACAGGTGCTGGTCATAAAATTAGAATATCATGAAAAAGTAGATTTATTTCAGTAATTCCATTTAAAAAGTGAAACTTGTATATTATATTCATACATTACATACAAACTCATATATTTCAAATGTTTATTTCGTTTAATTTTGATGATTACAAATGACAACAAATGAAAATCTCAAATTCAGCATATCAGAAAATTAGAATKTTACTGAAGACCAATAAAAACAAAGGATTTATAGAAATGTTGGCCAACTGAAAAGTATAAACATGAAAAGTATGAGCATGTACAGCACTCAGTATTTAGTTGGGGCTCCTTTGGCCTGTATTACTGCAGCAATGCGGCGTGGCATGGAGTCGATCAGTCTGTGGCACTGCTCAGGTGTTATGATAGCCCAGGTTGCTCTAATAGTGGCTTTTAGCTCTTCTGAATTGTTGGGTCTGGTGTATTGCATCTTCTTCTTCACAATACCCCARAGATTTTCTATGGGGTTAAGGTCAGGAGAGTTTGCTGGCCAATTAAGAACAGGGATACCATGGTCCTTCAACCAGGTACTGGTAGCTTTGGCACTGTGTGCAGGTGCCAAGTCCTGTTGGAAAATGAAATCTGCATCTCCAAAAAGTTGGTCAGCAGCAGGAAGCATGAAGTGCTCTAAAACTTCCTGGTATGTGGCTGCGTTGACCCTGGACCTCAGAAAACACAATGGACCAACACCAGCAGATGACATGGCACCCCAAACCATCACTGACTGTGGAAACTTTACACTGGACTTCAAGCAACGTGGATGAAGTGCCTCTCTTCTTTTCCTCCAGACTCTGGGACCTTGATTTCCAAAGGAAATGCAAAATTTACTTTCATCAGAGAACATGACTTTGGACCACTCACCAGCAGTCCAGTCCTGTTTCTCTGTAGCCCAGGCAAGACGCTTCTGACGCTGTCTGTGGTTCAAGAGTGGCTTGACACAAGGAATGCGACAGCAGAAACCCATGTCTTTCATACGTRTGTGTGTGGTGGTTCTTGAAGCACTCACTCCAGCTGCAGTCCACTCTTTGTGAATCTCCCCCACATTTTTGAATGGGTTTTGTTTCACAATCCTCTCCAGGGTGCGGTTATCTCTCTTGCTTGTACATTTTTTTCGACCACATCTTTTCCTTCCCTTCGCCTCTCTATTAATGTGCTTGGACACAGAGCTCTGTGAACAGCCAGCCTCTTTAGCGATGACCTTTTGTGTCTTGCCCTCCTTGTGCAAGGTGTCGATGGTCGTCTTTTGGACAACTGTCAAGTCAGCAGTTTTCCCCATGATTGTGGGGAAACTATAGAACTAGACTGAAAGACCATTTAAAGGCCTTTGCAGGTGGTTTGAGTTAATTAGCTGATTAGAGTGTGGTACCAGGTGCCATCCATTTTGAACCCTTTCACAAGATTCTAATTTTCTGATATGCTGAATTTGAGATTTTCATTTGTTGTCATTTGTAATCATCAAAATTAAACGAGATAAACATTTGAAATATATGAGTTTGTATGTAATGTATGAATATAATATACAAGTTTCACTTTTTAAATGGAATTGCTTAAATAAATCTACTTTTTCATGATATTCTAATTTTATGACCAGCACCTGTACTGTAATGCTAACAATTAGATCGAATATATAACCAAAATGAGTAAAACAAGTCATAACAAAATTTTCATAAGTCAGAATAAGTTGTCTAAAATGTAATAGTGTGACAGGACCTCAACCATCTGGAAAGAGCAGAATGGGTAAATAAGCTTTTGAGAGGAGTAATAAGGAWGAAAAGGTTTCAAAACATTAATTAAAACCAACAATAAGTATATCAGAGACATGCCACGAAGTAACAAAATGTTCAATAAAATCTGAGCACATTTCATTGCTATTAGTAATTTCATCTGGATGTCAGACCAAGCATTTTTCAAAGAGAAAACAAATGTGTGTGTTTTTTGCACAGTTGACATTAGATTTAAATAATTTTCAAACCTGTTGTTTTATTATGTCCTGATACATAAAGCTGAAGGAAGGTGTTTTCCCCATGACTCTAAATGCACTCATACAGCACCTAATATTACTATTATTGCTATTGTGAATTGCATTTCATAGTTGCAATTATCTTTTTCTAAAATCACAATCAAATGAACAGGTTGGGGGAAATAAAGCTGTCAGGATACTGATGGGAAAACCCTTACAGATCAATGTGTGTGCTGATAAATCCATACAAATGATTACACTGACCTCAGCATGGTGTTCTTCATTCTGCTGAAGGACCTCAATCACCAACTCAGCCAAGCGGATGGTGTCCTCCAGTTTTTTGGCAGGGGTGACTAAACGCCCTACATTCTCTAAGGAACAGAAGTAACAGATCAGTACAGACAGTCTCTAAATGGCATCTCTTCTTTCTTAACAACAGACTTTGAATAAATTGTGCATGCAGTATTTAGGAGCATTTGAATTGGGAAAAAGTAATCATCATGCATATTGCCCAATCTACTCCCAAACACTGACGACAAAACAATTAGTGACTTGTGAATGTTGGATAATCTGTTTTAAAATTGGTTAATATWTAGCCTCATCTTAAATAACTGTGACATATAATTATATAATAAATACAGTGTGCTGTGTATATTTTAAACATAATGAAAACATTATCCAGTTAAAATTAAAACCAGAGTATGATGCTAAACATTTTGTTGTGAAAAACACAGGGAAAATTATGGATTGGCTTTATTTTGTTGAATATTTCCTTGAGGCAATGTTTCACTGTGTAATATTGCACATTAAATTCAGCCACGGCTGTAATACAAATCGATTTTAAAATACATATTGTTCAAATGGTATGTTGTTGTCTTAAAATATCAAAACCTTCTGCATGCTGCAATCAATGCCGGGTGGCTCCAGTTAATGATCATATGCAGGTAATAAGCTTAATTTTTGTTACTTTAGTAGAACCATGAAGACAATCATCTAGAAAAAAAAACATCCATGGACATGATGAGGGACATAAGCAGCATGAACATTGAACACGTATCATGCAGTCATGTTGCACTTCTATCCACTTCATACAGTGTGATTTTTTTGGGGTATTTCACAATATATAATATACACATGAGCCAAAACATTCTGACCAGGCATACCATTTGTAACTCTGGTGCATGTCAAGGATTAGTTACAGTTTTGGAACATAAGTTAGCAGTTGTTTATGTCTGTTTGTTGGAAAAGAATAGATGTTGTTGGGTACCAGTGATTCTGACAGGTATGGGCCGCCCCACCAGCAAAGGTCATAATATATTGGCTCATGTTATGTAGGCTGCATCAAATGACATTTTGACCTCAACACCTTCAGCATGTTCGGTGAGAGGACTTTAYTTATACAATGGCCATAGAACTAACATCTCAGTTTCTGACAGATGTCTGGTGGGACAAATTCAACCACTCATTGTATGTAGAGGAGTTTCATATTTCAGCTGATAAGAGGCCATGGTATAAGGATGACAATGAACTTTAAGGTGTTAGAATGTGGATGACATAGATATACTGTATATATTGTAGATAATGGAATTTGAGGTAGAAACACAATTTAAAGAAAGTGGTTCCACTTCATCCATTAGTCTCATGTCAGAAAAATAAGTCATGTTTTATCACTTACAAACGGGTCAGTGAAGTTAGCAGGGATAAAAGAGCTGGCCAGGGTTCTAAAAGTAAAAATCAAATTATCGTAGGTTGGAATGATTTGTTTAAATAATCATAAAATTCATTTTATAGGCAAAGAAGCATTTTTCATAKCAAGACATTTTAATTGACACTGTAATCAAAATGCAGTAGGAAACATCTGCTAATAAAAAAGGTTATGTTTTGCACATATGATTGACAAATTTGACAGTTTATTTTAGTGCTTTTGCATTTCAATTTACTTCTAAATAACCAATCTGCTATAGGACACTGGTAGACTCACTGTATTGAGTTAAGAGTATGTTCATATTTTTATAAATGATCTGAAACTATCCCCATTGACCTTTAAACAGTAACTCCCATGCATACGTAAAATCAGGCATCACACCCCCCAAATACATTCCTAATATCCTGCTTTTCCATTGACTTATTTACAATCAAACTTAAAATTTTCATTGGTGTTTTACTTTGTAACAAAAAGTCCTCAATGTTGCAATGTTGCCATATATAAGAATGACTGCAGAACAAATCTACAAAACAGGTAGATATGACCACTGTTTAAATAAAGTATATTTTAACAAACTGGAAGTAGGCATGAATATATCTAACCCACAATGCATTGCAAAATACTGATTTAGAGCATGTGCATTTGTGGCTGTAAAAAGTCTAAAATGAAGGCTGCCCACTTTAGTTTTGCACCAGCTGCAAAAACTTGGGTGGAGCAAGGAATGCAGACAATCTCAATGGGTTTACTCATGTTATAAAGCTGCCAACCAACAAACGAACCAAATCTAACCAGTCAAACAGTCTTAACAAACAACTCACCAACCAGTCAACTATCCAACCAACAACCAAAAAACTAACCAATCAAACAAACAACCTACAAGTGGTGGCTGGTCAATACAGGGCACTAGGGAACTCTCCCTCTAATAATATTTGGACACAAAAAATATAATGATAATAAAAAAAATAAAATGTTAAAAAATGTATATATGTTTTTAGATGTGTAAGATAAATCTCAATACAAAAGAATAGAGATTATTTGGGGCACAGCTGACCTGTGCCAAGAACATGATTTACATACCGGTAGTGGGTCGACGTCACAGTAGGGCAGGTCCTAAAGCAGGATTTGAAGAACAAACCAGTCAAGTAATAGAGGAGCTAAACAACCCAYTCTCTTAAAACAAAACCATTTTAGAAGAGAACACAATCAGGAGAAGCTTAAAGTAAAAGAACTTGGACCCGATTAACATCATAAAGAGCAGCGAACTGAAGACGGGGGGGGGGGGGGGGTGTTAACACTCAGTCATTTTTCTGCACCTGCATTAGCAACAACAAGGCTTGCTACAAGCTAGGCTAATATCTTACAACTTTACTATTATTGTAAAGCAACGAATAAAGAATACATTTAATAATTGTATGTGTCCTGGAAAAATAATTATACCTCTATGCTGATTATTAAGTTCGAACTGTGTTGACATTTTTATTTGTATCTTTTTGATAATTACTAMGATTTGTCATTATCTGTCCTCATGATGCTGAGACGCCACTGCCATCTGGCTGATGTCCTTCATGTAAACTGTAAGACTTAACGCTCRCTCATTGGTGGTTCGCTGCTCCACCTGTTTGTATAAGTTACTTRCTGAAACTTTGCTGGATGTTGCGGTGTGATCAGACCCTGTGCTCAGATCTGTTCACGCTGTGACCATTTTTGCAATTGCAAATTTGAATAAATCAATGACAACCATTCTACAAAGTGCATTTTCTTTTTATTCATGTGTTTCTGTCTTTTTAATAAATATTWCCACAACAGCAGGAAACACTGATTTCTGTTCAGACAGTGCAAAAAATCAGCCATCTAAAAATAAATAAAAGATACTAGATTATACTGAATTTTTTCAAATTATTAACAACTAATAATCTGCAATTTGGCAGTTGCACTTGGTAAGACTTGTTAAAAATATTTCTTTCTTTCTTTTTTTAATTCTGTGATTAGCTTTTTTCCCTCTTTATTCAGCCTGCACTTATCTTTCCTGCTTTGCTGCTTTTTTGAGCCTCTTTCACAAAATCATCCAAAACTAGAAATTATGGATCTGGTCAGCTGGTCTCTCAACACTATTGATCAATTTTTTTCTCTACACTGAAGCTGAGCGAAGGAGACCCCTCATGTCCTGATAGCACTTTTGCAGCGCGGTGCATGCAGGACTCATAGGATGAGTGGAAGATCATGTGCCTGGCTCAATTGTCGATTGAGGACATTAAAGATGTTTGGATATTTGGATTAATGATAGCTGAATTTCTATCAATTGGCAGAGGGGGATATCTGGTCTGTCGTGAAATAAAAAAGTGCTGGCAGCTGTTCGGGCCCTATGGAGACTGCCAACGCTTTGTGATGKTTTATGCTGGGCCATCATCCCACAGAATGAGGCACTGGGGTGGCGGATCWCAGACCAGCTGTGGCTCCTGAGTCTGCTGGTGGAAATGTATGTATATGTATGTATACATATACACAGAACCTGTCGCTCCTTGATGTTGCGCTCGCCCTGCGCCGATGAATCACGCGTGTCAGACTGGTGGTTCACTCCAGCCTGTGGGCCGGTTCACGGACTGAACCACCGGCCCTCTGACCTGCGTCTGGGCCGGTGGTGCAGCTCGTGGGCCGGTGGTTCAGGGGCTGAAGTGAACCACCACGCACAGACGACGGGTGGGGGACCAGTACCAGGTTCGGCTCGGTTGCACCTGTGTCTTCTCTGTTATTCACGTAACCTAGCAACACGTTCCTGAAGTTCTGTGCAGGGCTGGGCGAGCTCGCAACTTCTGGCTGATTCGCTAGAATTAAAACAAATAATCCTGTGTCTGCATCCTGATCCGAAATATCACCAAAATTTAATGGTGTGTTACGTGTGCTAGTATGCACATGMGGTGTAAATATCATGACAATCCGTCCACACGTTTTTGAGTTATGCTGTCCACAGACAGACCGACAGACAGACAGACATACGTGACCAAAAACATTACCTCCTCGGCGGAGGTAATAAATAAGCTCCACTTTAAACCTGGTTTGGACCAGGTTAGTTTTAGAGCACTTGTTACCATGGAAACATAAGTGCTTCCCCTCCCATGCAACCAATTCAAGGCTTAATTAATTCAGGTTTATACCAAAATCCCGGCTTCCCTTGTCCCAGATTTGTGCAATAGGCTGCTGGAGAAAAATCCACCAGCTGCCACTGCAACACACTAACCAGCAAAGAAACAAAATAGCCATCCCAGGAAGGTCTCGAAAGCTCAAGTAAAGCAGCAACTAAAGTTATTTGTTTAGCCACTTAAGTAGAAAACAGAACTGAATGTTAGTTTCTTAATTTCTTCATCATCAGTGACTTTTTTATACTATAGTAAAGAGGAAAAAGAAAAAGAAGAGAAATGTAAGAAATGTTAAGATAGAAGCTGATGGAAATTCAACGGCATGTGAAATGTACACCAATAACACACAAGACAACACACCCGACGTCTGACAATCAAACATGATGAAAATGAACAATCAGCAACCAAACATAAACATATGTATGTTCATATACCCATACGCACATATATATACATACACACACACACACACACACATATACACATAGACATATATACACATACACATCCACACACATATACACATCCACAC